TACATGTAGAACTTACTGTGTAGTCACTACACAGTAAGTTCTACATGTAAACAGACAAACTTGAATTCATTGGTGATTTTAACGCCAGACAACAAACCGAATCAAAGTATTATAGTCCTTGTTAATGATTGAGAAAATCCTGAAGGTTTAAAGTCACTGTGTGCCGTACCTGTCGACAGACTCTGGATTTCTCCAGCAGGTATTGCTCTATCTTGGCTCCCTCTATGGCTCCTCTCTTGTTGAAGTGGATGTCGATGTATTTCCCAAAACGAGACGAGTTGTCATTGCGGATTGTTTTAGCGTTGCCAAAGGCTGGAAGACAAACAGAAACCAGTGAGGTCATATGGAAGCTACTCATCCTCTATGGGAGATGAAATAGCCAGTTTTTGCTGTCTGACTTTAACTGTACCTTTTTATGGAAACTGAAATGTAATATTGTGTGTGTGTGTGTGTGTGTGTGATCCTACCTTCTAGTATAGGGTTGGCCTCCAGGACCTGCTGTTCTATCCAGGAGTGTTGACCGCTGATGGCTGCCAGGAACTGAAGGATCAGTTTGGTGCTTTCGGTCTTCCCTGCTCCGGACTCACCACTATGAAGTCACACACGCACACAGACACACACACACACACACACACACACACCTTAATACAATGCTTAAAGTTTGACCTGATGATGGTGCTAGATGAAAACTTAAGGGATTACAAAAGCACCAAACTGCACAGTAATCTACCCAGTATTCTCCACTCTGTCCTACCTGATGATACAGCACTGGTCACGGTTGTTCCTCTGCATGTTGAAGTAACAGTTGTCAGCAATGGCAAAGATGTGTGGTGGCATTTCTCCAATCTTCTTGTTGGTGTACAGACGGATCTGGTCGGCTGTGTAGATGGGCAGCAGCTGATAAGGGTTGACGGCCACCAGGATGGAACCAGTGTATGTCTGCACATAGGGTAGAAGGATTAGGGGCTTTTTAAGAAGGATGTAATGCTGATTATTTGAGACTGAAGCTGCTGTTAGCCCGTTGAAGCAGTTTGAGAGTTTTCATGGATTAGGGTTAGTGGATAGAGGTGGAAGAAGTATTCAGATCCTTTAAGCTTGGAACAAACCTGAAGACTAGCTGAAACCTACAAAGACTGGACATATAAAGGTTGTTTCCACCAACCTCAACAGATTCTTTTTGTCTTCTTAGTTAGGAAGGAGCAGAGACTTAATGACTAGTGTTTCTCTACCTTTTCTTTTTTTTGCATTCTATCTAAAATATTAGGCTCTCAATGTACCACCATTATGGCTGATGTTAAAATACAGTAACGCAAGCCGACCCTATTCAGATATGAACAGTTCATGCAGGGTGCAGGTTTATTCCAAATACAGTAAGAAGATCATTTATTGTTGATTGTTGTTGAATCCTGAATAGGATTGAAACCCATTCACGAACCAGAGCTAATTTGGTAGAAAAGGGGTTTCACATTTATATTCCCAATGTTCCTGTTCGGACCCACAATTACAGTGTTTTTGAAACATTCATTTCACCTCCATGTACCACTAGAGGAAGCATGCGTACCACCAGTGGTACACATTCCATAGTTTGAGACCTGCAAAACACTCAGAACGAATGATCAGTAACAACTGTTCAGTTCTGATGATCCACAAACCAGTAACAACTCATCTAGATTCCCAGTACAAACTACACAGTGTTAATCTGTATTTTAGATTAGATTTAGATTCTGTGCTGTCTGCTCACACAGCAGCACAGGAGTGAGTTGGGGCCGGTGGAGGGTAGATGAGGTGACACAGGTCTCGTAGCTCAAATGGAACAGGATGACAATGAGAACCTATCAGTGTTCGCCACGGGAGAACAGACGGCCATGTTGAAAACAAATCAACATGCACCCAGGCTGCAGCTGAACTTGGTATACTGCCAAGCCTGAGCGAATCATTCCCGTAAAGCGTTTTGACTTGTCCTGCAGAAACATGACACCTCCAAAGCTTCAATGTGTAAGAAAAGGAGCTCTTTTCCCCTCCAGGCCCATTTAGTCCTGATGACATACTGTATTTTATACAGTATGCATCACACTCAATGACAGCAGTCATTTATCAGAGAAGGACATGCAGTGTTTGTGCAGAGCAAAATAAAATGAAAGATGAGTTTCATTCCATAATGAGTCCTTGTTGAATTAATAATACCTTACAGGCTTTCTTTACAAAATGTACCATTGTATCATTTGTAAAATTATGCAATGAAACCTTTGATTTCTTTTCAAGTTCATGAAACAGAACAACATCTAACATGAAACATTCACAGTGTGCAACATACATGCAGTTTACTGATACAGCTGAATAGGAAATATACTGCATATTGCTGGTTTTTGAGACTGTGCAGGTATTAAATACATGTCATAAGTGCATTATTTAAGCTAAGGTCGGATCTCTTTCCAGCCATGCTGGCCGTGCAAGAGCTGACTTACCCTGCCACCACAGTTTGTCTTCAGAGAAAACAGGAATATGGGAGGGAGGAAGGAGGAAAGCAAGAAAAGCAAGAGAGAGAATGAAGAAGCAAGAAATTGAGATGAGAGCAAAAAAACAGCCAACAGCTGGGGTTGGATTTGTGAGATAATAATGAGGAAGTGTTAGTAAAGACCATTCAAGCTGTCGCTTAAGGTTTGGAAAGACTGTCGATTAAGGTTTGGAAAGACTGTCGATTAAGGTTTGGAAAGACTTATTGTTTCTCTACCTTAAAAGCATCAGCTAAATAAATGTGATGTAAAAATCTAGTGGTAAAGATTATAATGAGAACTGTATGCATGTGTCTATCTATATTTTGTATATTATTATGTGTTTTTTTTTTTACAATAGTTCACATGAAAGAAAATGCATAGCCAACTAGTAGCTTTGCCTGCCTCCTTTAAGGCAGTGGTTCTACCTTCAGGTCATGCCAGAAACAGCAACGTTAGTGGCAGAGTGCACATAAATACACAATGAAAGTGGGAAATAAAATGTATTGATAAACAATGTGTGAATTTGTTACTGTATGCCTAATTACATTTTATTTTAATAATATTATTTCTCCACTTTTGTGGTACTTCTTCTAGGGAACTGTAAGACTCCGCATTCTATCTGATATAAACTCTGATATGTATCTGGTTGAGAAAAACAATACATTTGTAAATGCATCTCATTAATTGGGAATCAACAAGTTGAGAGGTCACCAGTCAACTCTATAGAGTATAGCCTGCGAGAATGTGTCCTATTAATGAAAACACTGGTATACAGTATATGAGTATCAGTGTGCAGCAGTAGTATAAAAAACATCCATTGATTAATCCATTATCTATAACTACTTATGCTTTGCAAGGTCACAGGAGTATGAGAACAGTACCACAGTAACACTCACATATATGAGTTTCTCTCTATATCTGATGAGCAGGTTGCGGAGGATGCCAGCTTCGTTGAGGTCTCCCAGGCGTATCATGTCCTCCACACCGTGGATGGAGGTGGGATGCATTGGCTTAATGTTGGTGGCATTCTGGGGGGATATCCAGTGCTCCTGGAGGGTTAAGAGATGTTATGGTGGGTTGTAGAGGAAAACAGAATCACACTCCATTTATTGGAGTTTTAGGATGAAATTGCTATTGTTAACATTTCTTTTAGTTGGTTACACAACAGTTCAAGAAAACGTTTTTGATCTGATCTTAAAGGCCTAAATATTCCGTACACGTACAGCTGTGGACACCACAGCCAAGTAATAACTCTGTCCATACTACTTTCAGTAGTCCCCGGGTCACAACAATTTGGCGGGACATGGATGTCTGCGCAAAGCACACACAATGAAATTTACATCATATGTTTGGGTAAAGTATAATTCCTGTTAAGAATAACTCTCACTGCTTTGTGCATCTTGTCAAATACTTTAAAATGTAACTCTTGTTCACCAGTTACACACAAATGAACCCCAAGATGCTGATGTTCAGGCCAAAAAGAATCTAACACCACCTAGTGTTGACCCATGTTTCTATTTATTGGGCCATAGGCACACAAATGCCATGCGTCACAATTTAGGCCTTTTCCACCAACATGGAGCTGGCAACGTTGTGGTTCGTGGACCCAATTTTGATTCTAATTCAGAGCATTTAGACCAAAAATAAATTGGTTTGGAACAAAAACATAGCAGGTTGAATTTACATGCAGACCAAAGTCGGTGTACAATTCTACACATTGTTGTACATTGTGCAACACCCTCTCTTGATGCATCCTTCATTATAATGGTTCTGCTCAAAACTGGTGGAAACGCAGGCTGGTTCGCTAGATAGCAC